CTGGATGTGCTTCTTGACATATGAGCACAGCTTTCTCCATGCTGCCCCTCTGGCCCAGCCCTAGAACATGTGGACTCCAGACTGACCACTTCTCTGTCAGTCTGTCAGTCTGCTCCCTCCACTGGCACACTGGCTTCCACCTGAGTCCTTGAGGTTTGTGTACATGGGAGCAGACTGAGTGCAGAGGACTCGGTTAATCACTGTATGAGGATGGAAATGCCCAAACTCTTCCTGCCTCTTCAGGCCCACTAAGAACTTATATTGCTCTGTTCCTAGAATCATTCATTAGTGTGCTCTAGCAGTGTGTCATAGGGGAATTTTTAAGCACCAAAGCTAGACCAATGAAGGAGATATTTTTAGTTGGGAGAAGGAATGACTTTGGCTCCTTTTGTCTCATATGCAGATATTCTACCAGCATAGCTCTTCTGGGAGCTTTGGAGATGGTTCAGAGAAGCTCTAGAGAGAAGAACTGGTTACAATGGAGGTACAACCCATAAGAATCTCTGTCCAGGGGATCTGCAGGGGCTAGCGCTTAACAACTTTCAATGGCATTAATTTTCACGAGAGACATTTATCAGAGGTCTGTGTCCCAGTTAGAGTACCGACAGCTATAACAGAAATCCCATTCAACATTGCCTAAACAATCAAAAAATGAATTTGTCATTGGACAGGAAGGTCACACGAGGTGGGTTTTAGGTATGGAATTGAGATATCTATTTCTTCTGCACGAATTTTTCTTCATTTTTTGTGTGACCATTGGGTTCTCCCAAGGTGTTTGCTCCCTTCAAGTTATGGATATTTTTCTATTGGGGGGGGAGAAAGAGAGAGAGACAGAGACAGAGACAGAGAGGGACAGAGACAGACAGAGAGAGACAGAAGAGGAGACAGGAGAAGAAAGGAGAGAGAGATGGGTAAAGGAGAAAGGAGGAGGAAGAAGGAAGAAAAGAAAGGAAAAGAGAAGAGGCAGGAGAAAGAAGGGGCACTCAGGGAGCAACAACCAAGAAAGAGAGTGGGAAACCCCTGCTTTAAATAGACTCATGGGGCCTACTTAAGTCACTTGTCAAGGTGTGGAGACGTGGAGTAGTCAGGTGAATGGAAGATGCCATTTGGCTCAGAATACTCAGGATCTGAGCCTGGTACTGGGATTGATATCCTAATAAAACCGACTTCTGTAAGTGTAGATAGTGAGTAAGCTACTCACAGGGTCAGCACTGGTCTGCTAAGTTCTGGTGCTCTGTAAGGACCTCATGGTCTGCAGGGCCATTAGAGGCACGCACTTGGCACCATTGTGCCAGTCTGGGAGTGGCAATAGGGAAGATGTGGAGAGTGAAGCGCTCGTGTGTGTATTTATTTACTTGTAATACATAATTTGATATATATTAATGTTCATAATACTTTTATTTGGTTCAAAAAAGGAATATACCAGCCCCTCAGGAAATCAAATTTTTCCCACAGAGTGAACTGTAAGGGAAATTTCTGCATGGGGTTTTCCATGCAAGTCACATTCAAATTTATCACAGAATAACAGAGGAAAATTTCTAATAAGATCCTCACATTCTGTGAAGGCACTGATGCGTTTCATTAGATGACTTCATGTGGCGTCTGTTGATAGCCCCTGGGAGCACAAGAGGAAAGCGGAGCACAAGAGGAAAGCACAGCTCAGAGGGTGATGCTGGCTCAAGTGAAGGAAGGGCGTCCAGATGCAGCCTCTGGGATGGGAGTTAGGTCTAAGTAGGAGGCCCACACAGGATCTGCTCCAGACATTTTAACCCAAGTCTGCTAATAACAGAAAAAAGAGAATTTATATGTGGTGTGGTTTTGGGAAGTTAGTAATATGGGTGGAGCTAGGGGAGTATAACAAAATTAATAAGGGCTTTTTATAAATCTATGCAGAAGATGATTCAGGAAGACGCACCATGTGTGAGCAGTGGTTTATTAGCATTTTGACACATGGAGGAACTCCTCTGGCAATTCTTCCAAATTGTGACATTCTAGAATTACTATCCCCTGCTTTTCCATTGGTATGCATTATTTCTTATTTTGTAAAGGTTAGTATCTTTGAAATAAACTAAAATTTAAAACTAAATTTATCTTTTAATCTCATAAGAAGTCCTAGAATTTATGAGACAATGAATTCCAATTCATGTTATTTAATTTTTTATATTCATTATGATTAACACAGAATATTACAGCTACAGATACCAAGAGGGACCCAAGTTCCCCTTTAAAAAATATTTCAAGCTGGCTGTGGTGGCACACACCTATAATCCCAGCACTTGGGAGGCAGATGCAAGACGATCATTGCAAGTTCGAGGCCAGCCTGGGCTACAAAGTGAGCTCAAGTCCAGCCTGAAGTGTGAAACCCTGTCTCAAACAGACAAAAAAAAAAAAAAAAAAAAAAAAAAATTCAATCCCTAATTTAAGAAGGACAGATTCAAAGCAGCAGCTCTCAAAAATTACTGTAAATGGAAATCATCAAAGGAATGGATAAATTGTGTATTTCCAATGCAAGGGGCCTGACTCATTAAATTCACATTTTCAGTTCATAGTTGGCCAGCTGCAAGGCAGGATGGCATGGTGGAAGTGTCTAGTGAAGGAAAGTTGCTCACCGCTTGGCAGAAGGAATGAAGAGAGGAGATGGGAAGTGAGACAAACACTTCCGGGTCACACCCAATGACCCACCTCTGTTGACCAGAACCTACCTCCTAACAGCAAATCAGCTATAACACTTCCGTAATCCAATCACCTTCCAAAAGCCCCACCTAGGAGTGCATGAGGCTTTGAGGGGACATCTAGACAGAAACCACAACAGTAGGTTAGATGGGCATAGAAATCTTTGTGTTTACAGTCACTCCAGGTGATTTTGATGCAGATCAGTTCTGGGAAAAATATTAAGAACACTGACCTAAGTGAAAAGAGAGATGGTTTGTGCTACAGTTTAGATCTAAAATATCTCTGAAAAATCTCTTGTTCACAGGTGTGACTTTTTGAAGGTGATATTCATCAATGGCTTAGCCCATTGCTGAGTTTACAGCTGACTGTGCTTTTCAAAGGAGGGGCTTGGTTGGAAGAGGTGGGCCACTGGGCACCTGCTGTTGGAGAGTATATCTCCCTCCATGGCTCCTCCCTGCTTTCTCTGCTTTCTAGCTTCTGTAGGGCAAACAGCTTTCCTCTGCTACGCCCTTCTGCCACGACGTTTCTGCCTTGGAGCCGGGTTACGATGTACCGAATCTCCTGTTACTGGGACCCAAAATAAGCATATCCTCCTTTAATTGCAGGTGTTGAGTATTTTGTCCCAGCAAGGGGAAAGCTGACTAATACATCTTGTCATTTAAATAATCTTTCACAAATCCGTCTTCTTCCAGCCAGTTTTTTTTTTTTTAAACAGAAGCTAAGTAGGAAAGCATTATACAACATAAATCAGAATATTACATTATGTGCCAATCCCTTTTCTCCAGGTGGTTGGACTTTTTTCTTCTTTAGGGAAGGAAATCTGTTTATAGGTTATTCATTTTTCTTCCCTACTGCATAGTTTGGGTACAAAGTCTGCACCAAGTATAATTTCTCAAGAGATTCAACAGCAACCCTTCACAATTCTCTCAAATACAGCCAGCTAACCAAGTCCTCATGTTTTTTAAATTTGAGAATTTGAGTCTTCTATCTCTTGTACATGAGGTTCGTGCATATACAAGGCCCCAGCTACACAGTGCTCTCTCAAAATATCACTGTTCAGCATTCAGTTTGTCATGTCTTTTGTAAAGCCTTCCTTTTTCACCTAGGTTGTTGGTAGACTGTGTTACCATCAGTATTGTGCATATTCCTGTCATTATGCCTGGAGTCTATGACAATTATCCACTTACTTGCCATGTATGATTATGTTGATGACAAAGGTAATGTCTTTTTAATTCTTCCTACTTTGGGGGCCTAATGCAGTGTCTTACATACTGTGGCTGATAAAAATTACATTATCTGTTGATTGAGGAATAATATTGCCTCTTGCTTAGTTCATTTCAGTGGTCATCTCTGTTATCTATTGCACTATCAACTATTTTCAAGACTGATTTATCTTTTCAGCAAGTCACGAAGTCCTTGAGGTCCATAGCAATGCTTAATAACTTTAACTTACTTTTGTGCTTACCACGGAGTCAGGTATACACAAATAGTTGTTCAGTTGATGATTGAAATTACTTCTCTCTTTTTGAAAGAAAACAAATAGAAGCAAGTTATAGTAACATCCTAAATTAGTTCTTTAGGCAGGTCATGTTGACTTTGGTGCACCCTGTGTCCTCATCCACACTGGCATTTAGTTACTAGGTATTTGTCAGATCTTATGATTTGTTTTTATTTTAAGCCACTCTGTTCAGCACTTCCAGCAGTGGTTTGTACTGCAGAGAAACTTAATAAGCATTGAATGATGATCAGATATTGGCTGTTTTCCACCAAATGAACACTCTAATCATCTCCTGGTCTATGCTTGTAAATTTGCCTGAATTACAGAGGACAACGTGAGCATTTCACAATATGTGCCCTTCGCCTCATATTCAGTTGTAGAAATAAAGTTATGCTAATTAGCTGAGGGCTATTGAGTTAGTTACTGTCTTTATTTGGATCCTAGTTTCTTTATCTGTTACAAAAGGAGGGAAATCAGTGTGACCTCTAAGTTCTTTCTGCCTTGTAAATGACTCTATACTTCAAAGCTATATACCATTCCCTGGAGAAAGGCATGGGTGTGGACAAGGGGCAGACAGTGGGACACCCTGTTTGGTAGAGCCTAATGCTCCACATTAAAAACCAGTTACAAGTCCAGCCTGACAGAGGAGCTGCACCAGAGTTCAGAGGTTAAGTTTGGGGGAAAACATACCCAGCTTTTACCCCACCACACTGGCCACGTCCACATAACCCTTCTGACAATTTGAAGAGAGTGAGTTTTTATTTTTTTGCCTTTTTATTTAGAACACAAGGAAACAAAATTCACTGAGGTCAAATATGCACAAAGTCACAGAGCCATCATATGGCAGATTGGAACTTGAATTGAAAACTAAATCCATGCATATTTCCCACTTCACTGTAAAATTCCTGTTATGGTTCATATATTGTGTCAACTTAGGGAGTCTAGAGGTTTGGCTAAGTGACTCAGCAGTTCTACATCCTGGGGTGAAAAGGACATGCCCTTACAGCTCTGGAATGTTGTTCATTGTGTCAACTTGAGAAGTTTAGAAGGTTAACTATGTGATTCAGCAGGGAGCCAGGGTGCTTACTTTGTATTCATCCTGAGTCTGTGCAAGAGGAGGGCATGGAGATTATGTGAGTGCTACATGCCCCTGGGTGGGGGCAGCCTGCTTACAATATAAGGGAGAGAAAAAGGCTGCTTGCTGCTACTACTCCCTTTCGCTCTTGTTGCTTTTGCTATCTTCCACCGTCATGAACTGTAGCCTTGTGCCTTGTTCCACTCTGCCTTGCAGCCAGCCAAGTATGGACTGAGACCTCCACAGACTGTGAGCTAAATAAACCTTGCCTTTCTTAATTTGGAGTGTCAGGTATTTTGTCTCAGCAACAACACAAAAGTAATTCCCAGCACCAGTCAGAAGACTTTAAATGAAGTCTTCTCTCTTTAGTTAAAGAATACCATGATTTTAGTTCATGCCAGTAGGAGTGGTTGTGCGCATCACTAATGCTTGAAGACACAAGAGTACTGTTGAGTGCAATGAAGCCAGTAGCATTTCATATAAGTAATTTGTACCAAGCTTTTCTACTTGACTTCCTGAAGGGAATGAGCTCATGAACTATTTTATCGTAATGGAGTGCTTGGAACTTAGTGTATTTAAGGGTTATGCAATTTTAGATTAGCTTGTAAATCATTTATTTATTTTCTGAAAGATTGCAAATAAATAATTGTAACTTCAGTGATTCTTATTCATTTTCATGTTCTTATTCATATTATACTTGAAAGATAATTGGATGAATTATTTAATGCCCACTGTTTATGACATTCTCTTAAAGGCTGTTTGAAGTTCTTTTTCTAAGAAACAGAATGTATGGGTTTTGATGCTGTCTTAGTCCATTTTGTGCTGCTATCACCACAATTCCAGAGACGGAGGGATTTATAATGAAGAAAAATTTATTTTGCTCATTGTTTGAGAGCTGGAAAGTCCAAAATAATAACACCTGCATCGGGTGAGGGGCTTTGTTGTGCATAATTCCATAGAGGACATGGAAAGGTAAAAGAGGGCTAGAGGGAAAGAGCAAGGAGAGGTGGATTTGCCTTTATGACAAGTCCATTGGTGATAACTAACCACTCCTGTGAGAACTTTCATCACCTCTCATTAGGTTTTACCTCTGAAGAATTTTGCACTGGGGATCAAGTTTTCAACATATGGAATTAAGGGGAAATATTCAAGTCATACCAGACATAAAGCACAAATGAACTTAACGCGTAGACAAATCTGGCATTTAGGGTAAAGCCTTGAACTTAGGAAGCTCAGTCAGCTTCCAACCTTGACAAAAGCAATCTTCAACCTCGAAAGCAATTTTATATTGTACCAATCCAGGGGGATAACAGAGCTCTAATGGAAATTGTCAACAAAATTGAAAAGAAGAAAAGCAGCCATATTTTAACATCCAGAACTTGAGAGGTCTCTAACTACAAACAACTGAGGCATAAAATTCAAGAAGCCTTCACACAGCTTTAATCTTCTGGCGAATCTGTCCTTTGATAGCATGTAAAATCTAGGCTGAGAAATGCGTGCCAAATGGTTTCAGTCCACTAATTCCAAGATTGATTTTGTTAAGGAAACTGACTAGCATTCAAAATGGAAACAGCAGGGAAAGGAGCAGGGAAAGTAAAAGGGAAAGTGGAGGAGAGGGGGAGAAGAGAGATGGGGACAGTTAGAGACACAGAGATAGAGACAGAAAGAGAAGCAGACACTACACAGACAGAAAGAGAGAGGAAGGGGAGGGAGCTGCACTTAGACATTGACGACATATTTGAACCCTGATTCTGCTATTAACATTTTATAAGATCTCATGAAGTGTGTTTAAACCAATTTGAAATTCAGTTCCTTATATGTATAATGGAAATAAGGATTCCATATTTCATACTGGAGGATTAATTGAGGTGGTTAATGTGAGCAGCTCTGGAGATGGAAAGGGCGATACAAATGTAGAAGTGGCTAACCCTTCCTCCCCTACTAACAGGTTAGCACTCATTCCTCCTCTCCATCTGTTTCCTTCCCCCCTCTTCCCTGTGTGTCTCTTCTGATCACAGTCCATCTTTACATGTCAGTGCTAAATCTCATTCCTGAGTCTCATATTCTCCCACTGATTCTCACCCTATTGTTTATTTCTGCCTTTCTCTAATTCTTTAATCAGTCACTTAGTTTGTATTCTCCTTGAGAACCTTTTACTCTAATCAGCTATCCTGGTGCTGAGACATAACACCTGACACCCACAATTTAAAGAAGTTTCATTTAGCTTACAATTTCACAGGATTCAGTACCCATTTTCCAGGTTCCAAGTTAGGAATATCATGGCAAAAGGGTATGGTGGAGCAAGGTTGTTTTGTTCATGACAACTGGGAAATAGGGCTAGGGAACAGCCCTAGAGAATGGGTGAGGGACCAGTAACTGTCCCTAAGGTCGCACCTCCATGACTCACTTAGACACACCCAGAAGTACGTTCCACTGATTGCCTGCATGACTCCCAAGCCAATGAATTTGACATGATCAAGCTTAACCTTCCCATGGCACCCTTTGTCAACTTGACATCTAAATATATCTCCTTAAGCTATACTTAATTCCCAAATAAGCATAAGGTTATAGTTCCACTTAACATGATCTTGTTTACAGCAGAAAATACCATAATACCTTTTCCCAAGTCTCAACATTTTCAGCATTTTTGTCCAAGCCCAAATCTTTCCAGGCAAACTGTTAACCTTGAACCTCTGTAAAAAGAGAAACCAAATTACATAATCCGAAGGTATAAAGGCACAAGGTACACATTCCCATTTCAAAAGGGAAGAATAGGGGGATAGAAAAGAATCAGACCAAAGTAAAACCAAAACCTAGCAGGGCGAACATTAGACCTTGTAGCCCTGGTGTACATGGTAGTAAAATGTGAGTTCCTAAGAGTTTGGATAATCCCACCTCTATGGTGTTTCTGTTTGCAACCTGTACTGCCTTTGATTGGGTTGGCTCCACTCACACCTTGCAGCTTTCCTTGGTGGACAGTCCATGTTCTTGGCATCTCTAACTTCCTGGGGCCTCTGCTGCACCTTTGCTTCATTACCACAGCTTCATGCACTGTCCTCTTAGGAGTTTCTTGCTGGGGCTCCCAGGCCATTAAAATCTGTCTGGAAGCCTCTATGACTCCACAACATTTGCATTATGCATGCTGCTGAAATCAGCATTATGATGTGGAGGATATCTTGCTTTCAGCAGGGTGAGTAGCTAAGACTCCTGGGACCGTGGCTGTAGCAGGCTCTGAGTGTCTGCATGACTGAGCTCAGTGAAATAAATCTTGGGGAACCAGTTCCCTAGGAGGCCCTTCTAAAGTAAGACCTGGGGGGATGTCTTCTCAAAAAAAGGGTTGCATTTTTGGACTCTTGAGCCTACAATGTGTGAGGGCTTGCTGATTTCTGATATGCCCTCAAGCCATCTTTCCTCTTATTCCTGTACAAAGTACTTGATTTCATTTCAGCATGGGTTCCACCACTCCCCATTCCTCTAGCACTCCAATTTTATGGTTTGAAATGGGCATCACAGTGTACCCAGTAGGAAGATTTTAGTTAATGTGATGTGGTATTTTAGTATTCAGTACAATTTTCTCCCTGTCCTTCTTAACATACTTTTATTAGGGCACTTGTGACTTTCAGCTGTCCAGGTGCTCTTGCAAGCTGCCTGGAAGCCTCTGTTGAGTCTTATTTTTTTGGCTTATTCTTTTCCTCTCAATAGCTGTAACTTGGAATATCTCTGGGCATAGTGCTCAGCCCTTTTTCTTTTTATCTACATCATATACCCCTAGCATTTCTATTTACTCACTTGGTGTCGGAAACATCCTACATGTCAAAGATTCCCCAATGCACTCTGAATTATCCAGGTACTCTTGTCTTGGAACCAGACTTAGGTTTGTTTGTTTTTGTTTGTTTTTTCCGGTACCGGGAATGGAACTCACAACGTTGTGCTTGCCAGGCAGGCTCTGTGCCGCTGAGCTAAATCTCCAGACTTAGGTTTCAATATTGTATCAGTAGCTGTACTTGAATATTTCCCAGACATCTCAACATGAATTGGTTCAAATCCTCCTGCTCAAATGTACTTATTTCCCAGGTTTCTAAAGTTCTGTAAACCACCAGTTTCTCATATCTGAAACATGAGAATTATCTTCCTTATCTTTTACCATTCACATTAAATATAACACCAAGTCCTGTTAATTTATCTTCTAAAACATATTTGCATTTGGCCAACCATGTTTAGGTCAACTAGCCTCATTCTCATCTAAGTCACTATCATTTCATACCTGTACGGTGGTGCTGTTTTCCAAATTGGTTTTCCCACATCAAGTTCTCCTGCCTTTTATTCTTCTCCACACATATATAAGAATGATATTTCATAAATGCAAAGTGGCTCTGCCATTCCCCACTTAAAGTCCTCCCTGCAGGCTTCCAATAGTGCTTAGTATAATATACAACATTTCTATACCAATCTGCAAGAACTTCAAATGTGACCTTTACTTCTTTCAAATTTCATCTCTCTCAACACTGACCATGTTATTCATTTCCATTCTTCTTCATTTTTTTGTGTGAAGGTGTTCTGGAGTTTACTATTTGTGTTGCAAAGCCTGGACAATTGCAGAGAATTTGGAATTTAGATGCCAGAAAGACAGAAGGTCTTTTACCTATTGTATTCTAGACTATTGTAAAAAGCTTTATTTTATGTAGATCCCAAGGGAATACTGGCGAGGAAGGAGAACATCTAGCAAACATGAACAAATGAGATTTTTCAAGGGCTTCCTTTCATCTGTGATAGAATAACGGAGCTGAGAGTTTATGTAATTCAACTTCTTTTTTGGAAGATGAGGAGAAGGTGATTCAGGGAAGTGCAGTGATTTCAGAGCTTGCTGATTTTATTAGGTATAACTGTGGGCCGACCAAGTTCACCTTTATTATGCAAAGGTGATCTTCTGCTCTGCAAATGCTCCTCTGTCCTTTTTTTTTTTTTTTTTTTTTTTTTTATTTTTATTTTTATTTTCATCCATACCTACAATTACTATGGCAATGTTTATCAGCCTACTTATAAGATCAATCCCTTGAAGAGGTAATATTTCTTTTTTTTTTTTTTTTTAAAGGAGGAAAGGTTTATTTGGCTCAGTTTGTAGAGGTTTCAGTTCATATTTGGCTGGCTCCAAGGCAGAGTGGCACAAGGCTCCTCTGTCCTTTTAATGTAAAAATAACCCCAAACCCTCTATGTATTCCTCCGAGTTTAAAGATTAATATAAATGTCCACCTATAGTTTGAATCTCATTTCTCAATGAGAATATAGAACTTTGCTAGAAATGTTAGGGATGGTAGAAGACATAAATTTTTCAGTTGTGGGTTTTACCTCTTGCACCTAAAACTTAATTACTCAGGAGATATCTATGCATTCAGCTGGTTGAATGAAAAGGACCAGCCTAGATTTTCTGTAGGCCTCAGTTTTGGTACATGTGGAGTACAGATAATGTCTATCTCTTTCCCTTTGGTTCTGATAAGTGAAATCAGACCCTTGGCACTGAACTACATCCTCAGCCTTTTTCTGTTTTTTGAGACAGGGTCTCAGGAAATTGGTAAGTTGCCCAGGCTGGGCTTGATTCTCCTGCTTCAGTCCCACAGAGTATTGGATTTACAGGTATGCACCACCATATCCAGCTGATAATGTTCATCTTATAAGTACATTGATGTCCCCAAATTGTGGTGAGACATAAGAAAATAAATTTGAAGCACTCTGCAGATGTTCATTTGCATTTCTGCCTATTTTGCTTTCTTTCCTCCTTGGTCAAATTATAGAGCTTATTTCATTTCTTCCCTGTGGCAGTGGAGCCTGAGGGATGTGGGTGTGTGCCTGTGTTCAGCGCCTACATGCACAAATGGAAACACACATAGGCTCTTCGAGGTTCTCTTTGCAGCCCTAATCACATTGCCCTCAGGTCATAATTTCTTTAAACATTTGTCTAATGCGTGGCTCTCTGAAGTCTAAGGTTTTGTAAATAAGAACCATCCTTTCTGTGCTCTTTGTTGTACATGAACACTTACAGGTATTTTTCTACTCATTTTTACTACGATTTCTGGCATGTTAAATGCTGCTTTTCTGGGATATGGTATCTGACAGTTTCTGTCTATGACTTACAGTGCTTCGTTGTCAGGGGGAAGACTGATGATCACATGTCCTTTCTCCTTCATTTCCCAGCTGGGAGATTTTAGACCACTTGCTCAACCCATCTGTGCCTCAGTTTCCTCATCTGTGACATGGCAGATAATTCTCCAAAGGCTTTATGGTTTTGTGTCTCTTGTGTACAGATTTCCTTTTGGCTTACTTATATTCAGGTGTATTTGTAGAGCAATCACATTCGGAAAGTATAACATCTCTCTCCAGTGGAGAGGCTACAGCTGTTTTTGGACCAATGTGTTAAACTCCTTTTAAGGCAACAATTGGGCAGATTTGCAAGTGGTCTCAGGATAAGGCTGGGGTTTTCCTAGTTTGGGTTCCTCAGCTGAGCTGCAGGTCACAGTATGCACAGCACCCTTGTGACTCCCACCAGGAAAGAGGCAGAAGCAGAAGCATGTACACTCTAAGAGAGTTACTGCAAGGATGACGCTGTTGTAAGCGATAGCTAGACATGTTGGAAATCTACTCAACAGGCCTTCAGGGAAGAGAGGCTGGAGCTCACAGGAAAAAGGCTGATGACCCACAGGTGGAATTTATTCTTCCTCAGGAAAGCTCAACTCTGCTCTTGAGGTCTTTCTACAGATTGAATGAGGCCCATCAAGAATATCTAGGATGATCTCCTTTACTTAGCATTGACTGATGGTCCATTTTAATCACATTTAAGAATATCTGCTCAGGAACATTTAGATTAGTGATCAGTGGAAGAACAGAAAGCTGTAGTTTTGAGCCACTGACACATCAAAAGACCAGACACTCAAATATTCCTTATTCTCCTTCTCTGCTATATTTTTGCCATTGTGCCTATCAGCAGCTAATTCACTACAGTCATATCTTGGCAGGCGATCGCTTTAGAACTCATCAGACTTGGTATGAGGTACATTTTGCATATTTTGATATGCAGATTTTGTCCTGGTACTTACATTTGTTTGCTATCTAGCACGCAAACTATAACTTGTAGGTGTCAATTTCCTCATGACTTGCTGCCTTTTCCAGTCAAAATGCTGTCTTTGATACTCATTCTTTTTGGTACTTATTGCACCTCTTAGAACCAATTAAAGATGAATACCTAGGTACCATCGTGTTTTACGTATTCTGCCAATTTTCTTTTGTTTCATCAACATGTAGACCCCAGGAGACAAAGCTGTTGACAGGTCACTGTTGCATTATGGCACTCTCACTACAATGGTGCATGACCCACAGCAGTGGACAGCTGATGAACACTTACTGAGTTTCTGCATGGGTGAGGCAGAAACGCTCAGATGCATGACAAGTGGCACTATATGCTAGCCATTGATATGGTAATTGTGCACATAATACCAGTGTAGGTACGTTGCATTTATGGGTCTCTTCAAATTTTTGTTCACACATTCATCCTTTGATCCCAGACATCTTTTGAAAGGTACTGTCAACCCTCCAGTAGAAATCCAGTCTCCTTAGTCAATTCAGTCTTTGGAGAACTATCCTCCCCACCCTGGTGTCTGGGCTCTGAAAGGCACCAGGTGCTCTCACTGGTCTGAATTGTTTTA